CGAGTCCATTTCCATATTGTCCTTTCACTACATCTGCAAACGTTCTATTTTGTATCTTTGGCTCCATTATTTGTGTCTTTCTGGGCTCCTCTACCTTGTTCTGCTCCTCATTTCTAAACCGTGGGATATTCACCCATAGCTTGTATTTCCCAACCCATATCTGGTCTAGTCTCATTTCCAGCTCCTTTATGTTCTTCACACCCACAAATCTCACAAATCTGAATCTGCGTCACTTCTTACTTCTTCTACTTGGGTTGTAGATGTCAAATACCCTTCCAAATTCGTAGAAAGTCGTCCACATCTCTGCATAGCTCCACTCCTCTGGCAAGTTGGTGAAAAAGTATGGCGTTGCTTGTTTACACAAGCCTCTGTTATATGTTTCCCCAGTACTAGACTTCCGCCCTCGCATTCTTCTCTGATCCGTTGGTAGATATCTCCTCTATTGGCTTCTCCCTCGTGATCTCCCATGTTCATAACTCAGTGTTGCCTGTGCTGTCGATGTTCGACGTCCGTCTGCTCTCCTTCTCACTCCACCTCTCTCTCTCATCTCTTTTTTGTCAGATATTGTTAATGCAGAAAATCAGGATTGCTTAGCAATTCTGACAGGATCAAGGCAATCTATCATATGGCCACCACAACAGTCTTAACTTTCCATTTTCTGAAATTGAAAAGCCAAAAACCAGAGTAATGACGAATAAAGGGTGTGTTTGGATTGTAGTAAGGTATTGTTATTGTAGTTGTAATAAATTGTATGATGTTATCATTGTAATGAAAAGTTATTTTAGTGTTTAATTATTTATTTATTAAAAGCATTGTAAATTATATATAGTAAAATTTTTTAATTATTAATTAAAGTTTTAAAAATATTATATAATGCATAATTATTAGAATAGACAATATTTACTGCTTCTGAATAATTTAGGATTTTTTTATTTTATATGATGGTTTTTTTTTTTAAGTTTTGCAAGAAGCTACTCATAAAGAAGAAATGAGTTTTTAATTTTTTATGAAATTTTTATGAAATTTTTAAATAAATGAGAAGTTAAGTTTAAATAAAATATTATAAATTGTAGTATAATTGAATTAAACAATGTTGGCTTTTAATGAGTAATTTTATGATTGTATTAAATATTAAATATTAAGTGCTGTTCATAAAAACATAGTAAAAAAGTTACAAAAATAGAATTTTGACCTTTATATATAAAATTACAATAAACATGCTATAAATTTTTACAACTTAAAAAAAAAATAATTTACAAAAATTTATCAAATATGTATATATCTAAAAATATTGTATGATTAAAGGAAAAAAACATTAACAACAATCCCAAACGCATCTAAAGATTAAAATAGAAAATGCTCCCTGTCTTTTGGCATTCTTAATCTAAAAGAAAATGGGATATATACCAAATAGATCACAAGTTTCAAAATAAGATTAGAACAATATACTTGTCATGTTGTTAGAGGTAGATACGAAGGAAAACACTGTAATCTCCTCTAATCCCAGCAACCAAGAACGTCATATATTGTGGCAATCCAACAAGTAGTGAATCCCAAGATCATCACTAGCTAGCTAGTAAATTGGCTCCTGCTCCTGTAGCAGACACTAAACAGTTGCTAAACGGTCGAATAGTCCATTACATTTCTACAACCAAAAAGTTCATGAAATCTACTCTTCTCAAATACTACTACATGATAACAAAGAATAGTATGTACATTTCCACGGTTCCACAATGGCATGGCATGTATACTATTTTAAAGCCCATTTATATTTTTTTTGACATAACAAACGCACATCTGTGATTATTGTGGTGGGCAAAAGTATGGGGTAACGACCTGAATTTACATAAAATTTGCAATTTCAGATTTAAATTTTAATTGCACTCCGTTAAAATTTTAAATTACACAAAATTTTTAATTAAAATATTAATTAAATAAAAATTTAATTTGCCTTCAAATGTCTTAAAGGACGTTAATGTCCGTTACTCTCTTATCCATACTTTTGTCATTTATAAATGCTGGCGTGGCGAGATCCACCCAAAAAAAAGAAGAAGAAGAAGAAGAAGAAGAAAAAAAAAACTGACAACTGAGATGAACCTCCAGAACATAGTGAAATTCACGCGCTTCAGTTGGATATGGAAATCAACCACATCCCTTGCCCAACATAACTCCGTTCATTACGCTGCCGTTCTTCTTCTCTTTCTTCCGAAAAGCCTTTCTATAAACCCTAATCAGAGGTGTAAAAAAGCTTCTCTTTTCTCTTTCCTATACCTACTTTCCTATCGAAGGTGAAAAAGGTCGGCTTTGAATCGCCATGAAGGTGCCGGAAAACGATCCCATTGTAGTCTCCAAGCACCTACTAGCTTCGCTCTCCAATCAAATCCCCAACATCCATAACTCTCTCATAAAATTAGATATAAAACCCTAATTTTACATAAAAATTTATATGATCTAAAAAATCACTGTTTATAGAGGTGTATCTTATAAAAAGACATAATTTCATAAATGTACTTTTAAATTTCTAAAAATTATATTTGATTTTTAAATATGTTTCTTTAAATTCAAATTTAATAAATTAAATTTAAAAAATCTAAAAATAATAAAAAATAATATTCTGAAAATCAAGTTACAAGTGTCTAAGTGCTTATCTTTAATTATATATATAAAGAGTAAGACTAAACTTACCTTAGGTTTCATTTTACTTCTCTATTTATTGATAAAAAGTAAGTTTTTATAAATTCTTTTAAGTTCCCATACTTTTTTCACGTGAGATGTTATATTTGCAAACTATTCAACATCCACTTTGGCGGAGGGGAAGCTGAAGACCCAGAGCGACATGGATACCCTCTTGGCTAAGCTGGACCAACAAATTAATGACATTGAGATTTTGAGTTAGAGCAGGGTGCTGCAAGACGGTGGCGTCTCGAGTTTGTCGAAGAAGGAAGTTATGTAGGTCGAGGCGAGGAACTTGATAACTCGATTGCAGATTGGGGCTGCAGACTCCAAGAACTCCGCCAGGAACTCGCTCTTGGGTTTGCTTCAAGAGGATGATAAGAACGTAATGATTGCGGTGGCGCAAGGGGTGGTCCTTGTTCTGGTTCGCTTACTGAACTCGTGCTCTTTCGAGAGGAAGGAGCTCTTTCGCGAGGAAGGAGCTCTTTCGCCACTGTGGTGGGTTCTGTTAAGTGGGAAAATCCCACATCGAGTATAAAAATAAGAAGCTTGTGGGTTAAATACAAGGAGGGTTACTCCACCTATTACCAATTGGTTTTAGGTTGGATACAAGCCTTATGTTGAGCTCACATGCACAGTTTTTAATATGGTATCAGAGTCCAGATTCTACCTTGGGAAGCCCGAACCTATTTGACAGGATCTGAAGTTGTTACCGGGCCTGTATTTAAAGGAGGCGTAACCCACGTGACAAGAAATACAAGGAGGGCTACTCCACCTATTGCCAATTGGTTTTAAGTTGGACGCAAATTGGTTTTAGGTTGGATGCAAGTCTTATGTTGAACCCACATACACAGTTTTCAATACCGTCCACATACACGAGGATTAAAAATGAACAAAGTCAGCTTATTTTTTCCACGACGTGTTCCACATTGGTAAGAGGGTAACGGAAAGCGTCCAAGACATTTTACTACAGATATTTTACAGCCAGCTCAAAATGAGTGTAATTGAAGTTTGGGTTCAAAATTACAAATTTTGTATAAATTTGAGTCCTTATCCTATACTTTTGCCATTGTGGTGTTGTCCCAGTCTAGCTGGTGTCGGTTTTTTGTGCTCATCAATAATAATCTCCCTTTAATTACCAAAAAAAGAAAAAAAGTTAATGTTCCTTACGCCTGGTCCAAGTGGAATACTCTAATTGCACTAGAACGGGAAATCTTTAAGTCAATCTGAACAAAAATTTATTCCAAATCCACATTTGAAAGTAATGGGCACTAATCCGGTCAATATGAGTCTTGAGAAAGACTTAAAAACCGTTAGAAGAAGACTTTGATCTAAAGTTGTATTTAAGCAGAAATGTCAGAGGAAAAGTTCCTTTTAACTGATACTTCTTCGGGTTACAATGGTGGTCCATTTCACTGTGGACAAATGGTAATACTGTGAGTCTGTGACAATCATCGACCCAGCCCCAATGTTCTTTCTTTATGACCAAACCCAATATTACTGGGCCATAAAATCAGGCTCGTGATAAATCACAACGTTGCATGTTTTATTTAATCAAAAATATTATAGGTATAATAGATTATAAGTGTATCTTATAATATATTATATTATTATAATTAATTTATAATATAATAT